TAGAGGTCTCCCAACTCGTCCATGAGAAAGTATATTTATGGACTTCATTAGCAGCCCGCCCAAGGTGGACCAATTCTCCACCATAATGGTGGTGGTTGACAAATTCTCCATATATGCTACTTTTATTCCCTTGCAAGGCGCCGCCGAGGAGACTGCGGTGTTGTTCTTTAAGCACATCATGAAGTATTGGGGGTTACCACACAGAGACACGAGATTCACGAGTATCTTTTGGACGGAGTTGTTCAAACTAATGGGGTCAGACTTAAACATGTCATCAAGTCACCACCTCCAATCCGATGGGCAGACAAAAAGATTCAATGGCTTCCTAGAAGAAGATTTGAGATACTTTATGAGTGCCAACAAGGACTGTGTGAGACATTTTATGTAGGCCTCTGTTGTGTGGTCAATGTTAAGATTAACCGCTTGATCCGAGTAAAGTAACATCCAGCTCCACTTTGCCGATTGCATCAAACAATCCGCTCATGGCTAACTCGAGTTTAGCTGACTTTTAGTCGGCCTAAACACTCGCTTCTCAAGCTTTTAGAGAGCTTGAATTGTGGCCTAAGGCTCCATGCCTTTAATCACTTGTGAAGCACCGACTTCCTTGTTCTCATTCCTCGCAAGCTACTATGCTAGCTAAGCCAACAGAATGATGCCCCAAACAATCGTTGCTGCTCTAATACCACGTTGTCACGTGTGGACTAACTCCCCTAGTCTTTAGCACGCGCGCCCACTAACTTCCTTCCCTAAGGTTGCTAGCCAAATTATACAGGGCCAGAATTGTATAAAAGTCTCTAGAGAGATAGCTTCTAGGACCCTCCATTTGAGGTTAGAAGGATCTAGAGAGGAAGTCTCTAGGCACTTGGGAGCCCTATAAATTGGGGCCTTCCCCTTCATTTTTGTAGCATCCAACCATTTATAAACAATCTCATTCTCAAGCAATAAAAGTTATCATAACCTTACTCTCTTGTGCTTACATCTTACTTTCTTACTTAAGCTTTTGTTGCATACTTTGCTATAAGCATCCTCGGTGTTAGGCCTTGACTAGCTACCTTAAGGAAGGAAGTTAGTGGGCGCGCGTGCTAAAGACTAGGGGAGTTAGTCCGCATGTGACAAAGTGGTATGAGAGCAGCAACGACCGTTTGGGGCATCGTTCTGTTGGCTTAGTTAGCATAGTAGCTTGCGAAGGAGAAGTGTTGGGACGATGGGTAAGAGCAAGGAAGTCAGTGCATCACAAGTGACTGAAGCCATGGAGCCTTAGGCCACAATTCAAGCTCTCTAAAAGCTAGAGAAGCGAGTGTTTAAGGCCGACAAAAAGTCAGCTGAACTCGTATTAGCTGATGTAATCGGCAAGGTGGAGCTCAATGTTACTTCGCTTAAGGATCAAGTGGTTGATCTTGACAATCGGATTGAAGAGTTGAACCTTGAGCACGCAACGAAGGCCCACACTCTTGCCAATAAAGCCTTAGAAAAGTTGATGGGTGAGGTGGCCAAGTTGGGTGAGGAGTTCTCGGGGGAACTTCTCGCTTTAAAGGAGAATGAGGGGGAACTTCTCGCTTTAAAGGAGAATGAGGGGGAACTTCTCGCTTTAAAGGAGAATGAGGTCCTGAAGGAAGAGCTCGCTCTATGTTGGAAAGCTGCAGTGATGAGGGCATTGCCATCCAGGCGAGGCCTAAGATGGTGGTCCCTAAGCCTCGGAACTTGATGTAGGTAATATGGTGATGGTAAAAGTTCTGCCAAAACAGCTATAGTTCCTTAGAGGAAGAGACCGCAGACTCATCAAGAAGTATGAATGCCCCATCCGCATCACCAAACGGATTGGGAAGAATGTATATAAGGTAGAGCCGCCAGCGTGGATGAAGATACACCCTATGTTCCACGTCAGTCGTCTCAAGCCCTATCATCAGAAGACTCCAAGTGCATCATCACATAAGATTGACTTGTCACTTTTCTTTTGTTTAGATGTTATTTTGTAAGTCAACGAGGTTGTCGACAGCTTAAGTGGTGGAGGATGTTAGAATCCGCCTTTTTCTTTTATGTAACCACCTCCCTTTTTCTTGTAATTTCCCTATGTTATGCCCTTTAAGTCTTTCTTTATGTATTCTAGGCTCTAGGAAGAATTATTGTGTTACTATCATTTTAGTTTTCACAAGTAATTCCATATGTAATCTATTTAAAGCTCTTTAGGGAGCAAATGATTGAATGAAATCCAAGCTACCTACCCGGTTTCATATGGCTTTGAAACTTGTGTGTTGCTTTAAGCCTATATTGATATTGTGTTTGCCTTGTTTTTAAACCATCCCTTCCAAACCAAAAGAACCTCCAAAGAAGCCCTCGCTATCGACGCTTGTGCTCGCTTTGAAGTATCGACCGTTACAAGCCCAAACTCCGCACTTGTAACATTAAGATGCGTGCTCCCTTGAGATACTTCTGCCCGCTTGTATTGCTTTGTGCTAATAACCCCAATTTCACAGTAGACTTGCGTTCTCGTCACCAAAAGGCAAGAGCGCGCCGCAAGATCCGGTGTTAAAACACTTGGACCGTGACAATTAGGAATGCGATTATTGAATTTAATAGGAACAAATTTTAGATTGATACAGACTTGTCCCTGGAAGATAGCGTTAATGAACTTAAATTTCATCTTAACTACCTATGAACCAACATATAAATCATTTTTGCCGGTGAATTACACATTATGGACTCTAATATCCTAGTCACTGCTGTATTGATAAGTTATATCTTGATTTAGTGTTAATCTGAGAGGCATCTACATATCTTGGTTACGTTAGATGTGGTGTTGCATGAAATTTTTACCCCAGCTTATCAACAAGTCATACCCCATTGATGTCTTATGGCTGATTAAGAGAAAGAGTGGGTTGTAGTGGTATTGTCATAATGCGTATAATATTGTTATTATAGATTGACCTTTCGTGTTGTATGGGGTTTGATAGTATGGATTGACCTATAGCGTTGCTATTAATTTTGTAAAATGATTTACTTATTGTCGTTAATGAATCAAAAGAAATTGGCTTAAACAACTTTGTTTTACTTTTGTGAGAACATGAAGCTCGTGACGGGAGAGGACTATAACATAATTTCTAATTAGGACTTGTTTAAAAATTATTGTTGTTTCGGCAAAAAATTGATTATTTGGGCCTTTACGGGCTGCTCGTGGACCTCGGATTTCGGCCTTGTGTGAACCTGCAAAATGAACCCCGAGTCGAGACCTTGGGGCGGGCGGAGCCTCCGACACCCAAGTTAGGCGAGCGTGAGTGGTGGATGGTCCTCTTAAATGATAAGTGTGTGACCTCATTTACCTTAGCCCCTAAGAAGGGCATATATAGTAACATATAAGTGCGATGTAATGGGCTCATATAGTGTATTTGGCTTATTTAGGCCTCTGGGCTTATAAGAGTAGGATTACCCTAGGCTAAAATGGGTGTATGACTATTTTGGTACCCAAACAATTAGCTCGCAGACCCAATTCTATTTGAAATGAGTTATTATATTTTCAGCACAGCCGAGCTCTATTATTTTCAAAGAATTTCAAATTTTGAGAAAACGGATTTTAGCCGAGCCGAATCTTTGTTGGGTAAGTACATCTTCGAAATGGGGTTTTACTCTTTCCTAAGATTTTGGGTAAGTATTCCATTCAAAGTTTCAGTAATGGGGTTATACTCATTCCTAGATTTTTGGGTAAGTATTCCATTAGAAGCTTGGTTTCGGTAATGGGGTCATACTCATTCCCAGATTTTTGGGTAAGTACTTCATTTGAAGATGGGCTTCAGTAATAGGGTTATACTCATTCTTAAATTTTGGACAGGTATTCCATTTGAAGCTGGGATTTGGTAATGGGGTTATACTCATTCCCACATTTTTGGGTAAGTACTCCATTCAAAGTTGGGCTTCGGTAATGGGGTTATACTCATTCCCAAATTTTTGGGTAAGTATTTCATTCGAAGGTGCGCCAGCTAATTTTTTGAGTACCAAAATGGTCATACCCTTTCTAGTCTGGGGTAATTTTACCCTTATAAGCCCAAAGGCCTCAATAGACCTAAGTAAGCAAAATACACTATAAGGGCCCATTATTGCGTACGCATATGCTACCATATATACTCCTCTTAAGGACCAGGGTAAAGGACCATCCACCATTCTCTCTCCTCTAAATACTCTCAAATTATACATCATTAGGCATCTTACATGGGCATCAAAGGCTCCATCCCAGGCTTGCTTGGGGTACATTTTGCAAGCACACTCTCTCCTCTATTCATCTGTTTTGTATCTTTAATAGTATTTTCTCTTGTCATTAAAAGAAGGGAAAAAAATGCTCAACTCATTAATCCAATTTTTTAAAATGGAATCAATGAGACTCCCTTTTTTGAAAGATGGTTAATGAATGCCTTGGTCTCGGGAAAGACGGAATAAAAAGAAAATGAAAGCTGGGTTAAGGTGTGCAAATTGGTCCAATATAATTTGGATTGAGAAGAACATACTTCACTACTAGACATGAACTCTTAACCGGTGTTAAATACTTGCTGATGTTTGCCTTCTGAGGCCCCGTTTTCTTCCTTTTAAATCAATAATTAATTCAGCAAAAAACAGTGAAACTTCCAGTTTCCATCAAAAAAATTATCTCATTCAAAAAGTTTGATTTAATCGGTAATAATTCAAGTTTTGATAAGTACAAATCAGTGTTATTTGACAAATTCTAGAAATAGTTGGATAAATTAGTTTTAATTAGTAAAAGTCAAATTTAACCAGAAAATATCAATTTATGTCAGTAAAATTTCCTTTTCATCAGTTTAAATAATTACAATTCGTTCAAAATCGAGTGTAGAAAAATAGTCATCTAGAGATTTCTCGGACGGTTTGGAGCAAAATTGAAATTATTCGATAATTGTTCCTTTATGACATCATCTTTAATTTGTAGCTCACTTCTGAGACTACTCTTGGTTATTTGTGTCCATTAATCTCTTCCCTTTTTTTGTTGGTCATCTTAGGTGCTGTCGCTTTATTTCAGCTACAAGAAGACATGAAACGACATCTCAATGCAGAGGGTAACTACACTGAGGAAGAGCTTGAAAGCTATATGGAATCTCACAAGAAAGTGATGATAGATTCTTTGTGGAAGCTCAATGTTGTTGACATTGAAGGGACTCTTTCTCGTGTTTGTCAGATGGTTGCTATACCTATCCAATTATGTATTAAATACTTTGGTAGTATATGGATCAAGTCGACTATTATTTCTGAAATATGTCTTTTGCTTATCCAGGTACTTCAAGACAACAATGCCAAAAAAGAGGAGCTACGTGCACGAGCAAAAGGGCTAAAAACACTAGGAAAAATATTTCAGGTAATCTTAGGTTTTTTTTTTTTTTTTTTTTTTTTGGGTCTGCTGTATCATCTAACATTGCTGAATTTCTTTGCTTATATTCTGAGTAATCAAACGTCTTTATACTTACAGCAGGTGAAATCTGAAACCAATGAGGCTGATACTGCAATTGGGGCTGAACTTTATAAATTAAATGGAAGCGAGTCAAGCTATGATCCATTAGCTTCAAAGACATCCCCCAAGAGCCGGGGAATGGAAGACCAATCTTATAATGGAATTGCAACACAGGTACTATCTTTGCCCATTATGTTATTGGCTACACTTAATAAAATAAAATATCCCTGGTTTCTGATCTTGAACATTGCCTAGTTACTCACATTGCACGAGTGACTAGTTTTAAGAGTCATACTCTAAATATAAGTTTTCTTTATCAACACGAATAAAATTTGTTCAATTAACCTCAGCGTGCAGGGCACGTGTAATTAGGAAAATAAGAAGTCACGTGCCCTGCACGTTGAGGTCAACACCGGAAAATAGGTGGTTAACGTCGAGAAGTAGGGTTTGGTCTTTTTTGACAAAAAATATATATATATATATATATATATATATATATATATATATATATATATATATAGGTCTGAAAGTGCCAAAAAAAAAAAAACAATTATGGTAGTTTGTGACAAAAGAGGCCTTTTAAAAGGTTGTTTCTTGAAAAAAAAAAAATCTTATTTTTAACACCGGTAAATTATAGTTTTTCTAGTGCTTGTGTTTAAATAATTTCGATTAATTTGCTTGTTTGCACTCTCAAGCCCCTTTCTTAAAACGCGTGCCAAAAGGTATGTTGCGAGAAATATGGAGCGGAGGAAGTATATTGTAACCAAAAACTCAAAAAGTAAAAACCGACGTTGAAAATATATTGTGGAAACATTATGACCAAAATAGCTACCCTTATTGTGTAAAAAAAAAAAAGTTACCCTTATTAAATCCTAAACTCTTTAATAGTAATTTCGCAATTCTTTTATTGTTTAATTATTATTGAATATGACTAAATCAACTTGAACTCCTAATAAATTACTGAAAATCTAATCTCCCATGTGTTTTTAAGTAAAAGCATGGATTGACGCAAGACCATCATAGATCAAGACATGGTGAGGCAAAAGTCAAAGCTAATGCAAATTACATACACTGAAGGAAGATATGAATTAATATTCTTACACGTGATTTTACTAAGCCAAATACAACTTGATTGGAAATCCCCCGTCCAATTGACTCTTAAACCTTAAATAACTAGTGAACATTAGTTGGCCTTAGGAAAATCGATAATTAAGTATAATTGCACTTTGTGCAAATTAAAGGGTGAAAAGATGCAAGAAAGCAATGCTAAAACTATTCCTCCTTTGTTCTGACACTTTATAAGAGAACCTTCTCTTAAGTATTGGTTGCCAATCTCTTTCACTTTTAGTGGTTAGTATCTTAGTCTTTATTTTTGACAATTAGACATAAGTACGATTTTTGTTTATCTTGCTTATCAAATATGGGATTAAGGCTTTGATTGATTGCTTATCACATGGTGATTAAACAATACTATAATACCCTTTTTAGCCTTTACACTTCTCCTGACTTATTACCAAAAAAAAAATAATAATAAATCCTTGAATACTTAAACTTTAAACTTTAATTACTTAATTGAATCCTAGTTTAATCAAGTGAAATCACCTTGAAAAACAATTAAAGACTATTAAGTACCAAACTTTTGCACTTGAGACATAAACAAATCAATAATCTGAAATATCAAACAAGGCTAATCATGAGATTAAAATTAAGAGACATGATTGATCATACAAATATGCTCATGAATTTTGCTAAATCTTCAACCATTAGGCAAATAAAAAAAAAATTAATAAAATGTTAACGAATGAATAAAGAACATAATTTAATGCTCCAATATTCCTAGATTATAAACATGAATAGTACCTCAAATAATCCTGGATTATAAACCTTAAGGGGCATGTCAAGAAGTATTTATCCGACATAAAGTATTATTCTTGTTACTAAGAGATACACCTTCTTCTAATTCTCTATCCTTTTGAATAATAGATCCCTAAGACCTCATAGCGTTGGACAACCTTCCCATCCAAGGTGATCACTTGTCTCCTTGTTTCTCACGCTACTAAACTTACATTCCAAATATTCCGTCTTACTTCTACTCACCTTCGAGTCATGGGATTCCAAAGTTCGTCCCCACGATTACAACTTACTTTCCACGCCTTCTTTTTTCTTATCAATTAACACAATATTGTTAGCAAACATCATGCACCATGGTATATCATTTTGAATTGAACTCGTCAATTCATTCTTGACTATAGCAAAAAAAAAAAAAAAAAAAAAAAAAAAAAGGGCTAAGTTTAGAACTATGAACTCCAATTGTAATAGGCAACTCTTCGGTTTTCCTAATAGTGATCTACACACTTGCACTAGCTCCCTTGTACATGTCCTTAATGATGTTAACATATTTCCGCGAAATGTCTTTTCTTGTTAAAATCCAACAAAGAATCTCCCTTGTACCTTATTGTAGGCCTTCAAATCAATTAAAACCATATGTAAATCCTTTTTCTTATCCCGATAAATCTCCATTAGTTGTCTCATAAGATGGATTGCCTCCACTTTCGATCTTCCTGTCATAAATCCAAATTAATTTTATGAGATGTTCACACTTCTCCTTAACCTTTGTTCTATCAATTACTCCCAAAGTTTTATAGCATGACTCATTAGTTTGCACAATCTTGGAGTTCTAGTGATACCCAGTATGCGAAACAATGCCTCAAACCGCGAACCTGGTTCATCCATTCTGTAGTTGGCAACCCGGATTGTGAGAGGTGACGAACTAGAATTGAAAACCCTAGATTTGCAATTCAAGCATTTTGATATAGTTATAGGGCTTAAAAAACACATGCAAGATCATAGGTACATTCCCCGTGTACGCTTGTGTTCATCGGTTGGAGAGCAATCAATGTTTCTTTGACATCTTCAAGGCTTCAATTATCTTCTTTTGGAAAAAAATAAAGAAAAGAAAGGTTTGGGGTAGGTGGGGGAAAACACATGATTTCCTTTACTTATGGCTTTTTCCTTTTCTTTTACATTTATTTAAATCTGATGTCAACCTTTGACTTTTCTCATTTAACTTAATTTGTGTTTTTGTTTTTATTTATTTTAATTTTTTTCTAGCTAATATTCCCTTCGTTTTCTTGAACAACTCCGTTATTATAACAACGCATACCAAGGTAAAGTGAAAATGGGGACTATACATTTGGGTACTTTTACTTTACAGTTGAGAAGGTATAGAGTAAGGGATTTATTAAATAAAATTAGTCCCACTAGTGGTGTTTTAGGTGACAAAAAAATGAATAAAAGGTCATCATAATAAGAACAAAGTAAAAGTGAGTAGAATTTTTAAAAAAAAAAGGAATGAAAACGGAAAGTGAGTAACACTTAGTATTTATTAAAAATAGGATAAATTGAAAAATATTTCCTATCTCTATGAAACAGTCACATTACATGGGCCCTTTTTATTCTCTCTCTTTCTTCACTCCAAAAATTGTCTAGAAGTCTGCAATTACAACAATAATGCATCTAAAAAAATGGACTAATTATTAAAAAAAAAAAAAAAAAAAATTACCATATGTTCAGGAAACTCTAGAGCCTACATTACATGTTTTTGTTCCCATACCATGTTCTTGGACTTCACCTTTGTTCTTATACCTTTGAAAAGAAAAGAAAAAAGAAATCTCTCACATTATTAAAACTAGTCTGAATATAAAGAGAGAAATTGTACTTTGTATTATTGAAAAACAAATGACTTCAAACGAAAGTTTAAAATCAATTAAAAAAAGGTATCTTATAATCAAACAAATATCTTATTCTTTAGATCTTGAACATGAGAGAAATGTAAGTGCTCTTAGCTTTTAAAAGAGATAGAGATGAAAGAAAAAGGAAAATGGGGTATAGGCAAATATTGAGAGTTTGAAGGGGGCGTGGGTGCTTAGGTAAAAGAAAGTAGGTGACGGAGAGTGCTTTTTTTATTTTAGGGTTTTTTAGGAGCTATAATGGGAATGGGTTAATGGCCTTTTTTTACAAGGATTGTTGAAAAACTTTTACGCTTTAATTTTAAAACAATCCAACTCCATTGAGTACTCGACTTTAACCAGGTCCAAAGACTTAGGTCTCGGAGTCAGAAACTGGTTCAAACCAGGTCCTTGGTTTTGGAATCAGGTCAAACCCATTAGAACCGGTTCTGTTGGTTAATTGCGTAAGGACTGAATTTCACACAGCAAGATTAAAATGTATAATATGATATCTATAAAGGTCTAACAACAACACAAGCATAAGGGATATTATATCATGTAACCTTGTATTTTATGCGTTTTTCTTATATAACCTTGACTTTTATACGACAGAGGTTACCTTAAACTTGTAAAAACTCATTAAATTGGATGGAAAACATAAAAATGTTAAGTAATTTTATTATTTTTTAAACTAAAATGGTAAAAATGAAAAGAAAAGAAGATAATAAGTAACTCCTTTTAAATCTTCCTAATTCTTCATTCCTTATTTGGTTTTTGTAATTTTATTTTACATATATGTTTTTTTATTTGATGTTTAATTTGATTTTAGTGGGTGATGTGGGATGGTAAATTTTAAGTTTTAATTTGGCTTTTTAAAATGTAAAGGCATTAAAATTTTGCAAGTTCAATTAAATTTTAGTGGATAATGTGGGATGGTAAAATGTTAAGTTTCAAGGTCTTGAAATTGAGGATATAAAGTAGTAGAAGAAGAAAAAATAGACAGGGGAAGAGAAGGAGAGAGAGGTATACATTGCTTAGAGCCACCATTATTAAGAAAAAGGGAAGTGGGGAAAAAAAAAAAGTGAAACTATTAACAAAGTTAGCTTTTCCTTTAATGATATTTTGCAAGCAATGGAGGCAAAGGTTGGAATCTAGAGGGTTTAAGCTAAGTCGGAGTAAGACTGAAAATTTGGTATGCCGCTTTGCTACTCAAATGGGGGACAAGCGATGATGTGGTGAGTTTAGATGGAAAAGAATTGACCATGAGTGAATGTTTTATATATCTTGGGTTGATCATCCAAAAAAACGGACATTGATAAAGATGTGGCCCACAAGATTAAGTCAGGGTGGCTTAAATGGAGAGCGGCCACGAGAGTGTTATGTGATCAAAGCATTCCCTTACAATTGGAAGGAAAATTCTACGGGATTGTCATAAAACCAGTGTTCCTCTATGTTACAGAATGTTGGGCTTCTAAGAAGGAGCACATCAAAGAAATACAGGTTACGGAAATGCGCATGTTAAGGTGGATGTGAGGGAACACTCTAGAGAATCAGAAATGAGGTTATTCGCAAGAAAGTAGATGTGGCAGGCATTGTAGACAAAATAAGGGAAAATCGTCTGCGTTGGTTTGGGCATGTAAGACGGAGACCCGAGGGTGCCCCGGTACGAAGAGTGAAAGAGTGGGACCATGGAGGGGTTAAACGAGGGAGAGGGAGACTGAAAATGACTTGGTTGGAAAGAGTTAGGAAGGATATCAAGTATATGGATTTGCGTGAGGATGAGGCATTGGATTGTAAGAGATGGAGGAGTAAGATCTTTATCGATGACTACACAAAATAATCAAATTTGGTTTATGTAGCCGACACCACTTAAGGGATTAAAGCTTTGATTGATTGATTGATTAATGATATTTTGCAAGTCTAAGGTTATCTCGGGAACTAGTGCAAAAGATAGGGTTATTTAAGAAAAATCACATAAGACACAAGGTTACATGGTATAATTTCCCTAAAAGTAAAGGGTGGAAGGCTTTTGGATGTCATTAATATGGGTTGAGAGTAACATAATAATAGCATCTAAAGCCTATATAACGTAGAAAGGAGGTTGGATTCTGACACCATGTTTGCGACCTGGACCGTATGCTGGAAAGTTCACCAATGGAATCGCACCTCTCAAGCTACCAATCATTTTGTTGTTTTTTAATTGTCCGCAGATGTCATGCAATTCATGGGTTTTAGATTTAGGTATTGATCTAAACCTAGATCTGAGATTACAAAGAAAATTATTGAGTCGGCGATGAACTACATATCAAGTATAGACACTTGTTTTTGAACATACCGATATAAGCTTTGTCAAGTATTGTGTCATGTCGACACACAACATCCAAGTGAACAAAGTGTCGGAGTAACAATGGATGTGGGAAGTTATAATTTGATTAGGATGTAAATCATATGGGAACACCGTGAGGGGTATAATTATGAGTGTAGCTATTTGAAGGAAAATTGTAGTTGACACAATAAAGGAGGAACTGGTAAGGAAGGTGGAGGATTGGGATATTGAAGATCTCAAAAGAAGCCAAGGGAGGCCAAAATGCAAATGATGACTTAAATGGAAGGAGTTTAAAATGTCATGAAGAAAGTGGAACTGAATGGAAGTGAATGGAGGAAGAGGATCTTTGTGGATGACCATTGGAGATAGACTTTAGTTCATGCAGTCAGGCCCCATATTTTAGGAATTTAGCTTTGGATTTATTTACTTAATGCTTAGGTAATAACAATAACAAGTTCTATGTCATTAACAGCACTAAACCTTGCAAAAATCATGATTAAATTAATATCAAGGCATTAAAAATCAGCTTTATCATTCTTGACACAATCTGGTTTACAACATAAGTATTCGAAAGAACAATCTTGTGATAATCTTTATTCTCATAAAATATGTGTACCCAAAGCCTCTAATTTTGTGAATCATGCTAATCCATACAATAGTATCTAGGGCATTAAAAATTAAGTTTTGTCAACTTTGATTTTAGTTTTTATGAGGCCAATATTACTTGTTCAATTCATGCGATAAATCTCATGTTCAACCTCTTACAAAAACAACCCAAAACACACAGTCGCAAGCAGCTTGCTTACGAGAAGATGATGGCAATATGATGATGAAGCAGCAGAAGAAATCAAAGAAGAGAGGGAGAGCAGCGAACAGCAAAAGAATAAGGAGAAGAAAGAAATAAAAAGAGATGAAAAAGAAGTTGAACATGAAAAGAAACAAAAAGAAAAGAGTGACTGTGTGAGGTAGGGTGTTGTATGACAGCTTTACTTTAGGCTAAAAACATCTAAAATTATGATTAATTAGCTAAATCTTATGCTTGGACACAAACTCATCACTTGTATAGTAATACATGTCAGATTAATATTGCTACAGGTTGGTTTTGTGGCATTAATATTAGTGGACTCTTTGGCTAGAAAGACTAAATTTCTGAGAATACCATTGTTGGAACTATTTGGATAGGTGCTTATGTGAGCTCAGCTTGAAATCTAATAAGCCGGGCAAAACAGAGCATAGTTCAGCTCGAGAATGTTGCTCGAATGTGCAACTTAAATAAACTGAACTAAATGACTTGCGAGTAACATATAGCTTATCATAATACCAATGAGAATCCCACAGTATCCTCTGAAACATGGAAATTGATATTAAAATTTTCAAGCATGAGTTGAGTTAAGGGCCAAGCCTAGTTATCCTAAGCTTGGGCCTGTCCCGTTTTATCTTATCGATTCAGGTGATTGATTTGATTCATACTTCTTAAAGTTCCTTGACCTACCCCATATTACTTAATTTTTTTTTGTCCTGTGAAATGTTCTCAAAGAAACCTATTCCTGATCAGTGCTCGGGCTTAGCACTCATTGGAAATTTACTATCTATACTCATTACAGATTCCATATGTGGTTGCCCCCCAGTTTGCTGATGCTTCACAATGCCATATTAGCTACCCAATGCCAACAGCACCACCTGGTGTTCAAAGAAGTTATTCAACGGGCAAAGAGTAATAATGGTAGTTTGGTATCTCCCCTGTCTTTGGCTTTCGGTTTCCATGTTGAATACATGTTTGATTATACTTACTGTATCATTATTAGGTCATCTAAGAGATGGGTTCTTGTTTTCATTGATCTGATTTCTTATGGGTCGAAGCAATGTGAAAATGAGCTAGCAACTGTGTTTTCATTGGTTGCTGAATGACAATGTTTATACAACTCTTGCTGTATAGACATTTTCTTCGGAGCCATACTAAGTCTTTCTGTTCCTGTCTTATCTCGATGCCTAACCATTGGTTGCTTTTGTTGAAATAGTCTTAGTGTGGCTCCGGAGAAATGTCTCTATAGCAAGACTAATAATGGGTTCTTGTTTTCATTGGTTTTTGTATGGGTGTAAATACTGTGTTGATTTGTTAGATTATACTTTCAATATTTTTTTAGTATGTATTATACTATCAATATTTAATACTACCTTAGTGTAAGGAATTTTATGTGATTACTGGACCCGGACAAATGTTTCAAACCCATTTGACATTTCTTTCAAAAAATTCTGAAGATGTTTATTCACACTATTTTCAGCTGGGTGCAAGGTTTCGAGTTTACGAGTCCCGGGATGCATTAGCACCCCAAAGGTACACTTGGATAAACACCATGCATGATCTACTTTCGTCTAGTGAGTCTTTTGCTTTGGATCGTGTGATAACAATAGATCAACTCACGCAAAATGTCATGCTTGATGATCAATATATATGTAGTAGATTAACAGCAACAAAAAAAAAGGTCATTTCCATGTTCGTCAATTATCATTAGCTTCCCCCTGGCTCCCACCCCGTCTGCATTTGCCGTTCTGCAGGTAGATCAGATTCAAGGACTTTTATAGGTGTATATACAGTATAATCCTCGTTATATGAGGGGGGGGGGGGGGGGGGGGGAGAATGCCTTTAGGTACCCCCTCCGTTTTCTATTTTTCCTCCTATTAGGATTCGGGGGAGGATCTAATGAAAGCATTAAAGAATGGCAAGAGTTTAAATTTCATGATTAAAAAGAATTAAATAAAATTTCAGTTAAAATAATTAATGGAAACTTTTATTGTTGTGCATTTAATACGTAAACAATTGAATTAAGATTTAGATAAGATTATTTCTATTCAATGGAAATATAGGAGGAAAATAAAACAATATGCTACCAAATTTCTCTCCATGGAAAACCCTTACGCCCCCAAACCTTCTTCGGGAGAAACTGACCAGATTTCTAGATCAAATAAGAAATCGAAAAGAAAAATAATCCATCTCATTTTCAACAATGACCCTAATTCTACCCAGAATCCTGCTGTACCCCATGAACCTACTGATGGACATGTGCCTAAACCCATGTCTTTTCGAGATTTGATGAGGGCTAATCATATGAAAGGTTCCTTGATATAATCCAGCAAAATCCAGTCACGAATCTTACCGGCAATCGAACAGTAACAAAGGAATCAAGGTAAGCAACAGCGTTTCAATGGAATAGTAATTTTGTATGAATGAATAAAGTATAACAGCCCAACCTCAATGAAGAGATGAGTGCTGTGATTAATCAATTCCAGTGATAATCTGATAGAATGAAGGGAAATCACAAGGACCTTGACTAATGTATTAATGATATTACAAAGGCAGAGAGATATAGAGAGAGGAAGGTGGGAATATTGTATTGAAATCTGATAACTATTACATACTTCACTAATGGCTTTTATAATAGCCTTAATTACAAGGAAAATAATAATTGAAAAGCGTAAATATGGGAGTTTGTTAGCTAATATTCCCTTTCTAGAATAATTCCTTCCAACTCAGCACTACCAGTTGTTTGATTTGCAGCATTCATTATATCTTCTCTGACCATGTGCATTGCACGAGCAATCTCATTCCCTGTGGTCACATGTATGGCACGAGCATCAGCATTAGTGGTTGTATCAAAGCCCTCCCCTTGAGAGGATCCTTGTCCCCAAGGATCAAAAGCAGGATAGTTCTGCTCAATTGTTACAGCATCTTCCCACGTAGCATCTTCAGGGGCACTTCCTGACCATTGAATCAACCATTGAACAATTGCTCTGTTGCACCTCTTGACACTTCTTTTGTTGATGAGGGCTATTGGATACTTTGTTTCATCCAGAGTAGGATTGGAGAAGGTTGATGGATCAACTGGAGGTGGGAGAGGACCATGATACGTCTTGAGTTGAGAAACATGGAAAGTGGGGTGTACCTTGGAGTGAGGTGGCAGTTGCAAGGTGTAAGCGACCTTCCCTATCTTCCTGATAATTAAATAGGGTCCAAAGTACCTTCTGGCCAGCTTCTGGTTTGCTCTAGTCTCCACGGATTGCTGCTTGTATGGTTGCAGTTTTTAGATACACCCAGTCCCCTATCTCAAAGGATCTATCACTTCTATGCTTATCAGCCAGTTGCTTCATCCTATTTTGGGCAGCTTTGAGGTGCTCCTTGAGTAATAGGAGAGTAGCTTCCCTCTGTCGCAAACTCCTATCCACACTTTCAACCTTGCTAACCCCTGTCAAGTAAGGTATATGAGTGGGTGGGGGTTGACCATACATAACTTCTTAGGGAGTCATCTGTATTGTAGTGTGATAATTGACGTTATACCAGTATTCTGCTAGTGGTAGCCATCTAGCCCAGTCATGAGGCATATCCCCACACATACACCTAAGATAGGTCTCAAGGCACCTATTGGGTGGTAAGCTGTTGAGAGATTATGTTGTTAAGAGATTATGCTTTATGCCCAGCCTTTCCATAAGTTTAGACCAAAATGTGCTGATAAAAACCTTATCTCTATCGGAGATTATGGTTTTTGGGAAGCCATGCAATTTGTAAATGGAGTCAACATAGGCTTGAGCAACCTTAATGGCTGTAAAGGGATGCGATAATGGAATAAAGTGAGCATACTTGCTCAACATATCAATGACAACCATGATAGTTTGCTTACCTAAAGAGGTGGGTAATCCCTCAATGAAATCCATGGTAACATCATCCCACACTCTCTCTGGTATTGGTAACGGATGAAGAAGACCAGGGGAAGGAGAAGTATCATATTCGCTGCTCTGGCAGATGGTACATTTTCTGATATAATTCCTGATACTCTTCTTAAGGCCAGGCCAATAAAACAGAGTCTTCACTCTCCTGAGTGTCGCTTCGACCCCCGAATGTCCCCCCATAGGAGAATCATGCATCCAAGCCAAGATTTTGACCTCGAGATCATTGTTATCTCTTATCACCAGCCTTCCTTTTTTTCTTAATTGTTCGGCTTCCCATGAGTAGTGTTTATGTAACACTGACTTGTCTTGTAGCTCCCTTATAAATTTCTGTATATTGGGGTCATTCTTCCAAGTGAGCTTTATTTCTTCCATTAAAGAAAAGTGAATGCTTGATGCTAACAATTGCATCAGTTGAGGCTCAGGGAGCCTAGATAGGGCATTTGCTGCTTTATTCTCTTTCCCACTCCTATACTCAATAATATAATTCATGCCTGCCAATTTGGAGAACCATTTCTGTTGGAAGGGGGTGACCACTTTATGATCAAGGAGATATTTCAGGCTTTGTTGATCAGTCCTGACAATAAAAGGCATCATCATCAAATAGTGGTGCCACTTTTTCACAGCAAAAACTACTGCCATTAATTCCTTCTCATAAGTCGAGAGATGCAAGTTCTTTTCTGACAACGCCTTGCTAACATATGCAATAGGACGCCCTTCTTGTAATAACACTGCTCCTAGCCCAATGCCTCAGTCTCTATGATAAAAGGTTTGTGGAAGTCAGGCAATGCTAGCACAGGTGGGGACGTCATAGCCTTTTTTAAGTCTGTGAATGCTTCGGTTTCTTCCTTATTCCATTTGAAAGCCTCTTTTTTCGGCAAGTTGGTTAGAGGCCTGCAAATTTTTTCCATAATCTTTGACGAATCTTCTGTAATATCCAGTGAGCCCTAGGAATCCTCTTAATTGCTTGAGTGTCCTAGGTAGAGGCCATTCCAGTATTGCCTTGATTTTATCCGGTTCAGTTCTCACACCTTCTGCTGAAATAATATGTCCTAGGTATACCACCTCTGTGAAGCCAAAGGAACATTTGCTGAGGTTTCCCTGCAATGAATTGGCTCTCATAGTCTCTAGCACTTCTTGAACATGTTGCAAGTGCTACTCCCATGTAGTACTATATACCAAGATGTCATCAAAGAACACAAGAACGGACTTCCGAAGAAAAACTTTAAAGACTGAGTTCATTAAAGTCTGGAAAGTTGAGGGGGCATTAGTTAGCCCAAAGGGCATAACTAAGTACTCAAAATGGCCAAAGTGAGTTTTAAATGTTGTTTTGTGTATATCATTAGGATGCATCCTAATTTGATGGTATCCAGATTTGAGGTCAATTTTGGAGAAATAAGTTATGCCCTTCAGTTCATCTAGCAATTCTTCAATAATGGGTATAGGGAATTTATCTTTGATTGTAGCTTTGTTTAAGGCCCTGTAATCCACACTCATTCTCCAACCACCATCTTTCTTTTTCACTAGCACTACAGGGGTAGCAAAAGAGCTATTACTATCCCTAATAATGCCTTGTTCTTGCATTTCTTAAACCAATTGCTCAATAACAGTCAGCAGGATACCTGTATGGCCTTTGATTGATTCCATCAGTGCCTTCCTTCAGTGGGATCCTATGATCAAAGTGAGCCCTAACAGGAGGGAGGCCCTTTGGGAGAGAGAAGATATCATCAAATCTAGCAAGCAGCGCTTGCATGGCTAGGTGAGGTGGAATTTTTCCGGACATTTCAACACTCTGGATTCTGATTTGTTCCACCCCCGGTATCACCTGCAGCATAGTC